GGTAAAAAGCTATATTTTTGTTATTTTGTAATGACTTTTGATCTTCATTTATGCTTATGATGTAGTGAAGTGTGCGCGAAAAACCATAAAAGGTGAATATTTGGAAATGTCAATTACATTGAGTACCCGATATCGATAACCAATGCCATTTCCCGAATGAAGTAAAAACAGTACATGTTGGACTGTTAACTTTCATAAATAACCCTGGAACCGGCCTTATCAAAAAAAAAATTCAAGAAAAAAACTCATCGAGATGATGCAAAAATGCTAGATTTACGTGTAAAATTAAACGATTTAGTCAAAGATGCACAAAGTCAAAAAAAAAATATCAAATCCAGTTAAGAGGCGATTCATTTATTCATCAAACAAGACACGAATATAAAATTTCGAACGTATGCATCGAAAATGAACAACATTTTCCAAAAACGGCTAAATCAGTGCGAAAACAGTGAAAAAAAAACCGGCAAATACTGGGTAAGTGGGGAACAAAAGAACCGGACGATATTTCTGATAGAAAGACTAAATCAAGTGGAAAACAATATCAAAATCGAAATGCGCTTCCTTCTTTTTCGGGAACTAAATTTGATAACTGTGATAACAAAAAAAGGAATTGAAATCAAAATAAGCGGATGTACTACCAGTTCAAAAAAAAAAAAATTATCTCTAAGGCGAAGTCGGGTAAGAAAATGCCATGTTAGTGATGTTACTGGGATGCTCTCATAAGTCAGGTGCAGCTATGCCAAGCCCTTCGATCCTGACTTGCATTCTCATAAGCCACTATCACTTTTTTTCGTTGCGACCGGTTTTCATCAGTGATTCTATATCTTCCAGATTCCTCACAGCATCCACGGTGAGCACCTCCACTGTGCCATCATTGCGTAGCAGGATGTCATCCTCAATACGCATGCCAATACCTCGGAACTCCTCCGCTGCTTTTTCGTTATCATTCCGAACATAAATGCCTAAATCCATAATTGAACAACGATACAGCTAAATTTTGAGGATTTACGGTATTGTCATAGGACTTATTTTGGTTTGAAGCGATCAATTTCAATGAGTTTGAACGATAAACATGCCTGGTTCAACAGTAAATACAACGCCACGTTGTAGAGGAATTTTGCGAGATACAGAACCAGTGTCGTGAACATCCATTCCAAGATAATGGCTCACATGATGAGGACAAATCTTGTCAGTCTCCTGAAAATATATATAGCACAATCAAAAGATTAATTAGTTCGCTTTGGTCCGGCACTTTGAGAAACAGCTGTTTCAACTTAGTGTACCGCTGAGCGATAAACGACCTGAGCATTTTCTACAATTTCTGTGATCAAAAGTTACGAGATTCCAGGAAAAACTTTGCTAAAACACCTGCATGCATCAGCAAAACTGCGCAAAAGTACCTCACAAGTTGGTATGCGAAATTATTTGTTCTTTATACTTACCCATCAAGTACCGGCACATACAAATGCCCTGTCTTACTCGAAAAACTGCGGACTTCCAACATTACCCTGTGCTTATCATGCTCATAGATCCGACATTCGTTATCAGCTGTTAAGTTACCAAAAACCAGAATATGGAGAGAGAGAATATTTTTGCAAAGTTTCCGTCTCTTTTGTTGTCTGTTCTCGAAATCGTTCCTCGCCAAAAAATTTGCGTGTTCTTTCAGGCGAACAAACATGAACATCTTTGCAAAATTTCAGCCTTTTTAAAAAAATCAAAGCTGGAAAAAAAACTTACATGAACTAGTTCGTCCTTGTCCAAACTGTCGGAAAAAAGGCCTATTTCAACGAGATTTTTGGCAAGATATTCAATCATCGCTGTGTAGACTTCATTCAATCGCAATAATTCAGTTTGCTTCAAGTAATTCAGCAACCGGGACTGGACGTCATTGAGCGCATCATAAAGAGCCCTTTGTGGCGCACTAAAATATCCGGAGACGGGAAAGACACGCGTTATATCACTTGTGTACCCTTCATAATCACAGCCCGCATCAACAAGCACCGTATCACCATCATTTATGGCCTGAAATCAGCTAGTGACTAGATATGAATGTAAGGCATATCCATCGAAATCACGCGAATGCTTGCTGCTGATTGATAAAGTTTCCCATTGCTTTATTGCTTCCATAGGCGGATAAAAAGCGGTTTTCTGGAGGAGCTGGGGCGATTCCCTTCCCCTCCTTCCTCGCTCATCACTACACGGGAAGCCGCATTACCCCCTCTCCCTCCGTTCACTACTTCTAGCGGCAACGACTGAGAGGGGAGAGTGGGAGGAAGAAAGAAAGTGGGGATCCTGGAGCAGATGGAGGAAGCAATCTCAAAGACAGTTTTCTTCACTTTTAGCACTGAAATCTGCGCGCTGGGAAGAGGGAGGGGAGGGGAGTGAGGTGAAAGGCCCCTCGTCCCCTCCTCTCCCCTGGATCCGCCAATGATTACTACTGTGTATGCAACCATGGAATTTCGCCATCAGATTACTTCCAAATAACCGTTGAAAGGCGAAGCCATTTATAGCTTTATCAATAGGTCTGCTACCACCTGAGCTGTTTCCAAGTTTCTTCATCGTCAGAAAAAAAAACTGATAGGGTTTTGTCTTCAAAATAAAGTGAAAAAGTCACCTGATTAGCATCGAGGTAGTGTATTGTATTAGCACGATTTGCAGCAGCGACCACCGGCGGATACGAGAGACACGCGGCGCCACGACGTCGTACCTCAAGTTCCAGTCTTCCGACAATTTCGTTCTCATTCGCTACTCCCTTG